TCCGTCTGTTTATGTTACACTCACGAAGTTAGGTCAGATGGTGAAATTACCCCCTCAAACAATCTTGATCCAAGCCTGCAATATGGCGTTGAACAGTTGTATTAGTAATGGTGTGTGACTCAAATTATCACAAGGTGATAATTTTTGAGTAACACACCACATTCATTAAGATGGCACAACTTGCAAATTGCTACTTCTGACATATGTGCCAATTCTTCAAACTCTGCAACCAACCCTGGATAGTCTAGATGTTCAATCCTCCTTGTTTGTCATTTGTGGAACTGCAATGTGCTGATGTGTAGGTTAATACAAGGTTTTTCCAATGTGTTAGGAACATGAAGATTGGGGGTGATGAAGTGATTACAATTATAAAAATGTGGTGGGGGTATTTGCAAAAACACATGAAGACAACCATAGTACCTCAAGCATACTGATTTAGGTGGAGTCATAGATTGTCAACATGTTATGGACTTTGGGAATGATTTAGCAACATTTGGATGAACCACACCGATGTAGGTGGAGTAGTCATAATTCACCCACATGTGATGGACTTTGGAAAGATTTAGCAACATTGGGATAAAAGAGTATTAGAGTACTAATTGCAATGCAAATACAAAAGAACTCTTTTCTTCATTCATGGTATAACAAGTTAATCACACTGATGAGTGTTGGTTATGAAAATGTTTTCCAACATGTTATGAACTTTAAGATTAGGGGTGATAAAGTGATTACACAAAGCCATCCATAGTCCAGCAAGCACACTGAGGTAGGTGGAGTCCTTGCTCAGTGTGCCAACATGTTATGGACTTTGGGGATGATGTAGCAACATTTGTGTAAAATTGCATCAGCCTAGTCATTGCAATGTAAATACAAAAGGAATATTTCTTTCAATCAAAGGACTCTTTGGTTAATTCATGGCAGTACAACAAGTCAAGCACGCTGACTGATGTGTAGGTGAAGACAAGGTTCTCTCATGTGTTATGATTTTGAAGTTCAGGGGTTATAAAGTGATACCATTTATAAACCTGTGGTGGGTGTGTTTGCAAAAATATTCAAAGACAACCATATTCCCTTGAGCACACCGATGTAGGTGGAGTCATAGCTGGCCAAAATGTTCTGGACTTTGGCAATGAATTAGCAACATTTGGATGAAGTGGTATTAGTGTTGTCATTGCAATGTATATACAAAATAACTTCAAAAGAACTTTTTCCTTCATTCTTGGCCAATGAATGAAGCAGATACTTTTACTTGCCATCAATACAAGATTGAAAGAAACCCAATTTCTCGTGCGAATGTGGGAACCAAAGTAAGTAAAAATTAAGTAACCATTCAAGCTTTATCATGACAACCCATGGGTATTCAACAGCTGGTATCAAACAATTATAAGTCAAATACATTAACCAGTATGTTTTTATATAACAATATAAAAACATGTTGACAAGGTACACTCTCAATTACCAAAGTAAGCAACCATTGGAGCTTTATTAGAATCTCAAGTGACTCAAGTGTTAAAAGTCAAGTACAATCACCAATATGTCTTAATGTGGGGAGCAATCTTAATGAATCTTGATGATTAAGGTATATATCTATATATACCTTGGTATATATAGATATATACCAGAATAAGCATCCATTGGCGCTTTCACTATTCAACTAGACAACACAACTCAAGTGTTAAAACTGAAATACATTCGCCGTCTGTGATCTTGATGACTCTTAATGATTCATTAAGATCACAGTTATACCAAACTAAATAACCAATGGAGCGTTCAGTAGACAACTCAAGTGACTCATGTGTTAAAAGTCAAATACATTCACCTTTTTTATGATGAGCGATCTTAATGAATCTTAGTGATATTGGCTCATTCTCATATACCAAACTTAAAAAGCAGTGGAGCTTTCACCTCACCAGACAACTCATATGACTCTGTATTCAACGGGATGCGCTTGGGGTGACAATATATAGAGATAAAGAGCACAAAAGGAATTTAAAAACCAATAGATTATTGGCTCATTCTATTATATTACTGTTAAAACAACATAGATTCTAACATTTCTAACCTCGGTGTCTAACCTACACTGAGATAGTCACATGGATGTAGCTATCTCAACATTTCACCATTCATGTCATACAAACGTTCGTACTCCAACTCTTCTGCCTGCTCATAGAAGTCTGGCTCCTCAGCTTGGATTATCGGCTTTCCAGCCATCATTTTCCATTCTTGATCCGCCCAAGCGGTTACCCTTTCAAATCCATGTATCAATATTTCGTCTTGTAGCTGATGTGCCTCAAGATAGGCAGCGGTTTCGCGGACGAGCTGTGGGAGATCACGGCTCCATTGTTTCCATAGCTTGCATGCATTTTTTTTGACAATGCTATAAATAGATACCAACCTACTTCGGACCGCTCCCACCGCTGGTCATCATCTAAAGTTAGTGCACCTGTCAGTCGTCAATGTCCTATAAGATCATGAGCTCACCCTCATTAACCTTCCTTCCCAGCGCAAGGATGCGATCATAGTAAGCATTGGCCCATCCAGTCATTTGCCTCGCTTCCCTAGCAATGCGTCTTAGCTCCTCGCAAGCGCTCCGTCGGGATAAGAAACTGTTGATACCGTCTCTGTCTGTATCACCATCTTGGAGACCAAGCTCGCCACGATTCCAGAACACATCGTCCATCTCCATGGCCATGACCGTTGCAAGATCGGGCAATGCGGGTTGCACAGCGTCGGGGTAATCGTTTTCGTATTTGCCAACTTGCCTCGCATATGTATTGTACTTGACACGAACCAGTTTTGTCTTATCACCCAGATGCCGAGCCAGATGTTGTTGTTCCCGGGTTCCTACAATCAACAACCAAAAGAAGAGTCAGCACAGTGTGCCATGACATATAAGTAAAATAAAAATAATAACCAGTGTGCCGATGGCGACGCATCCTGGCTTCAACTAGGCCAACTTTGGCTTCATAGAGATTTGCGCGCGCTATTGATAAGCCCAGCACTGCTGTTTCTTGATTGCCTGTTTGCACAGATAGTGACAGTGGAGTCGCACTTTTATCAGCATTCTGAACTTTGATAACAGTCAGTAGAGAACTTACGGACTGCGCCGGCAAGCTCTTGAAATTCAGCACCGCCAAGGGCTGTGGCCATCGCTTCGATTTGCTCTTCGAGGTTGGCCACTGTGGCCGGCAGCGACATAAGATCAAACCTATCAGCCTGGGTTCTTGCTCTTCGAGCTTGAAGTTGAATTGCCTTGAGCCGATCTCTGCAAAGAAAGATACAACCAGGACTTAACTACGGGTGTTTCCCAAAATTCTTCTGCAACTCACCGAGCCTGAATCAATTCCTCTTCTAACCCCAGCATTACATTGAGACGCTCTCTCTTTTCTTTCTGAGTCTCAGTCATCACATCCAGCTGACCGGTCCTTTGCTCCATCCATTTGTCCTCAAAGTAAGCAACATCTTTTTCTCTTTCGGCCTCCGCTATCCCATTTAGCACAATCTCCGCTTCTTGAAGCCGTTTGATAGCCTCAAGTCTCTTCCTGTTCATGTGAACGGCTGAAAATAACGGAATCCAGTGTCAGAGCTGACTAATTACACATATGAGATGATGATGTTCGAAGAAAGTATGACATACCTGCCGAGTGTCGAAGATGTGTACGGTGGTGGCTTGCTCGCATGTCAATGGCATTGACCCGGTGCTGTTTAGTCGAATATCGCTCAGAGCTAACCAGGGCGGCCAGAGAAGACCAGACTCGCTCTGAGCCTTCTCCATCTGAAAGTCCCCATCCGCAATTCATTCTGGGATTCCACATCAATTGACAAGTCCATCGATGCATGTATGCATGAAATACACTAGTTCCAAACTTCAATCGGCCCAGACGTCGCTCTTCGGTAAACATGTTGCGCTGGAAGTAGTATTTTACGTTAGCTCGTCGCTCTTTCCTGAATCAAAAGTGTCTTACTTTTTCTATTCCCTTCTCCATTGTACAACCTATGTCATATAGGAAGCCAACCTTTTGTTCATCAGTCAAGCCAAGAAACCACTCGATTAAAGCATAGCTGTAGTGCAGCCTGGAGGAAAACAAATACAAGTTGAGTCACTTCACATCGGTGGGTGGTATCCTATCAGAGTGTCAAGCTACTTACTTTTCGCCACTCTGGACAATATTAGCAAATCGTAATGGATGATCGTGGCGGCACACTATTGCCATCAGGCCCGTTTCATCACATCCTCCCCAATGTGATTTCCCCCGACGGTCATTTGCTGCTGTGTGCTGATCGGCACAAGCATCCTGGAAGTTGAACACATCAGATGGTGCAGGAGCTCTGGTATACTAAGATTGTATGTAGAAGAAAGCTTACAATATCGTTTTCAGAAACCCCGGCAAGCCGCTGCTCCATACGAGTGACATCGCCTTGAGGTAGGAAGCCATTTGGCATGGTGGTAATGGTCTGAGCAGATTTTTGACCAGCAGCGAGGTGGCGTCGATGCTGAAAGTTGCCATCAAGACACACAACTAAGTCAGGTTCCCCCTCGATCAAACTGTGAATTGGGGGGCCAAAGCAACGCGGGCAATTTTCAGCAAGTTTATCGCGTGGTGAGAGCGCCAGTTCGATATCCAACGCTCTTTCGGTGGCAGTGAGCATTTGGCGATAGGCATCAATCGCCCATCGGAACGGGGTATGCCAACAACGAGGCTGAAAAAAAACATAACTTCAGTCCAAGTGCAGTGAGAATGGGATGGCATCAAATAACCTTCTCGTTCTTGGTGAGGATCAATGGATTGAACGCATCCAGGTATTCGTCAAGCCCTCAAGTCCAAGGTTCAACACGGCTAGTGCAGAATTTCCATGGGATATGGAAAAATCGGAGTAGGCGGATTGAGAAGGCAGTTTGGGGGTATTTTGGTGAGCCTCCAATGTACCCCATATATATAAGTCTACTTTGATCGCTTTCTTGGCATCCACAAAACCTAACCTCAGCCTTCTGTCGAACTGATAGTGGCCTGATGTCAGTTCGAAGTCTAAGATTATCAAAATAGATAATCAAGCAATTAACTCAGCTTACATAAGATGTCAACAAGGTCGACAGGTCGGACTCTCCACTGCGAAGATGGGCAGTTGCATTGTGGCTTCAGATCAACGTCCCACATTGTCGGATCTCCCCATTCGGACGTCTGAAAAAGACATTCTATGTAGGTCTGGAACATTTCCTGCGCGTATCGAGCCAAGATGCGTTGGCGTTCCTCTTGTTCTTGAGCAATTCTCTCGCGCTCGATGTCTTCTACAAAATCTGGTGGCGGAGGAAAGTGTTCAAGGTCAATATCCCAATTGACTTCACCATTGACTTCGGGATCAGGTGGTGCATCAGGTGTGAGTAAGGGTACCGGCCTCGCGGTTCGTGCCTGCACAGCTGCTGCCATGCGAGCAAAGTGCTTCCTTTGCGCTTCGCTTTTGGGAGCCTTTGTCCAGTATGGCTTCTGTGCGTTGAAGGATTGGTGGACTCCGGTGAATTTTGGCATTTCTAGTTACGGAGCATTGGTTTGGGTAAGATTGAAAATGAGTCAGTCTGCTGTTTTGAGGATAGTAAGCAATGTTCATGCTTAAGAGGAAGAGGAAACAAGAATTGAAAATAACGTACCTGGTTTTGAAGTTTGATACTGTGATAAAAGAACGAAATAAGCAGATGTATAAAAGTACTCGCCAGTGTTGACCAATTTGTGTTTGACTTAGATGAGATAGTTAGTGAGTCAAAATCAAATATGCAGGAGAGTTTGAAAGTATACAGTTTTGAATGAATGTTGAACCAATCGGATTTGGCGAAGATTGTGATGAAAGAACTCTTGAGGAAGTAGTTTGATGGAGAGATTTCAACCTGTAGATTTGGGCTAAGTAAACATAATTAATTTTCCTTTACAAAGTATGAACTTATACAGGTATGGTATCTCAATGTACGGAATATGTAGAAATACCATACCTATTGATACAGAAGCTCATTGTATATGTGTTTCAAATATTATTGGTCAGTACGCTTACACGGATTAACCTTCTGAACTCAATATGCAGGTGGCCACTGGCAGGTAGTAGATGTGGAGCTTATACGACACACATATGTAACATAAGTAATAGCTATTCAGAATCAGAAATAAGACATAGTTCCACCGGGGCACGGCGGCCATACAACAATGGCTTTTCTACAGCAAGGATAGGTATTATACAATCTTTGAACATACAGAATTGAGGTACATACTTGTGGAACCACTCCTTTGCCTCTGGCAGTGCGAGATTGTGCCACTCGCACCAAGGCTCTGGAATTGGAGGTGGGGTGGTTATAGTAAGCGAAAGGAAATGAACACACTTCTTATCAAACAGAAGAAAGATAGGCAGA